GTCTCCCAGTTCGACATTCCAATGTATCATTTTACAATTCATGATTTTGTGCAATAAACACCCAACATCCGCGCCAAAATATATCAATTGAGTGCTTTGGACCTGAAAGTAATGTCTGCAAGACCGAGTGAACGGGATGAAAAAACAAACGCGGCAGGCCAACAAAAGGTACATCGGCGACAAGTCGAGAGCTATAGCCACTCCGCCATAAAGGCTAGAATACGAAAGGTAGCCGGGTGTATATAAATACCACCTGGGGTCTGGCCGCCTAACACCTTCCATTTCCGATCGTATCGCGTGCTCGGAGCTGATTCCCGCGAGCCCACCAAGGCCCGAAACCGCCGAACGCAAGGGTCTTCTAAACCCGCTGGAAGTGACCCAGACGGTTACAGACGGGTTCCCTTTTAGGGTGGATGTAACCGTTTGGTACGAGACTATCCCTCACAAAGCCCGTGTTCTCCTTACTCAAAAATGGTTCTTTTCTTCACATCGACCGGTATGTTATCCTGTTATTTATTGGGTACATTATGATACTGATGAAGTCGGAATACAGCTTACGACCCACCGGTGACGATCTACATGGGCAAAGACAAGGTGGAAAGTGCGTGCGTACATCTTCCGCTTTGTTTGATCTTGTTTTCTGTCTGGGTATGCCGTTATGCTGATATTATCTTGTCAATTTCTTCCACCATACACATAATGATACTTCTCAACTCGAAATATCGGTCGCCACATCACCATCTCATCCTCCATCTATTTCCTCACTCCCACCCCTCCATACATCCCACCACCCCACCCCCTCCTCCTCCACCTTCCCCGCAACAGACGAAGACCTAATAAAATACGCCTGGCCGCAAGACGTCTGGTTCCACGTCGACAAACTCTCCTCCGCACACGTCTACGTGCGCCTGCCCGAGTCTATACCCTCATGGGAGGCGATCCCCGAGCCGCTGTTGAATGAGTGTGCGCAGTTGGTTAAGGCGAATAGTATTGAGGGTGAGTTATTCCCGGACTCTGATCTGTTCTGTGTTCTTGAAGAAGAGAGGGTGGGGTGGGTGGTGAGGGTGGTGTGTGGTTTGGAGAGTATGGGTGTATGTGTGATCGGATTGGGAGGGAAAAAGGTGGAAGTGGAAGTGAAAGGGGTGGAGAGGGTACAGTCAGATGAACTGGAGCTGATGGATTGCTGTCTTATGTAGGGAATAAGAAGGATAACCTGACGATCATCTACACGCCGGGAAGCAACCTCAAGGTACGTCCTTCTCATCTCTTCACAAATATTCCTGTTATCTTCTCTTCGATAGCACCAACCACAATCATGCTGATGAATATGATTTACTGACTTCATTTTGACCTGCAGAAAACAGGGGACATGGCCGTCGGACAGGTTTCTTTCCATAACGATAAAAAGGTCAAACGGGGTACGTTCCCACACCCACACCCATACCCATCTCCCCGCACTCTCCACCTATTTACCCATCCATCCTCATCCCTCATCCCTCATCCCATCTGTGTTCTCCGTGGCTCTCCTACAACTCAACTCTACAACACCAGTCCACGTCCCAAAACGCGAAAACCCCATAATCAACCGCCTGAACAAGACGAAAGTCGAAAGACAGGTAGATCATGAGCAGGAGAGGCAGGATCGGATACGGAGGGAGAACGCGGCGAAGAGGGCTGCTGCTGCTGCGAAGGTGTGCATCCTCTCCTCTCGCCTCACCCCATCTCCCTCCATCACGATCCGCACATTCTTTCCATTCCAACTTTCCTCCGTGTTCCCGATTTGCTCACGGAACGAATTATCATTTCGCACATGCTTTCGTGTCGTCCTCAATAGAAAAAAGCAGACGCAGACCTCGCCGAACAGCGTAAAGCAGAGAAAGCAGCGCGCTCCTACGATACGCTCTTCTCTAACGACGACGGGGACGGCGATGATGCCGAAGACGACGATTTTGAGTATGGAGGGGGAGGGGCGGGAGGGAAGGAGAAGTCGAAGTATGCGAATGTAAGGGAGATGGAGGAGGATTTTATGTGAGCGTGTGAGAGTGTGAGGGTGTGATATGTTTCGAGTAGTTTGTGATTGAGGGATTTTGGGTGTATGGGTTGGGTGCATGGTTTTTGGATTTTCGAGGTCGACGATGATGACTTGCTGTAGTCTGCGTGTCTTGAAAGTGGGTGTATAGTGGGCCACAACTCTCAATCAAATCAAATGACGATATTCAGCCAATCACGATGCTCGCCACACTGAATTTCAAAGCGTGCAGCCAATGACGCGACGAACCCTTCAGCCTCAGCTCAACATTTTTTTTACGGATGAACGGATGAGCTTTACGATGCAGATATAAGGCTCGGAGAAAACATGACTCTGACAGCCTGATCGATGGAAATAAACGTTAACCTTCGCCTTAGGCTTTGACCGAGACCGATATCAATTCTCGTATATTTACCCGTTCGTTCCTCAGTTCCTGTCCCACACCACTGTTCTCGACTTCCTCGCTCCACCATCGACCATCGAAGGCGGCTGTACCTATTCATTCGAAAGCCTCGACCTGTTGAAGCCGTCGGTCGAGCTAGTTAAAAACGGAACGTGGAAGAGTGACGACAGACGACAGCGACAGGACGGAAGGACTTACCACGCTGCTGCGATTTCGACCGAGGCTTTGACTTTTACTGCAAACCCTCATCGACGCATCCCCGTCTAGCTGTATCTTCATTTTCTACCTCGTAGTCGTGGACGACATTCTTCTCGCTGTTTTTCACTTGTCCTAGTCCTCGTCCCTTCTGAGCTTTGTAGTAACTTGACCTACGAGGAGAGACTACGATACGACCCTTCGATGGCGCAACAACACACACAAACCCACAGACCGCTCATCGGCTCCATACTCGAACGAAAGCCGCTCCCTTCTCCTTCTCCCTCCT